CCCCCCCCCCCCCCCCCCCCCGTGTCTGCCTCTTTGGGGCTGCTTGGTTGTCTTTGCTTCTTCAGGGCAGCTTGGCTTGTCTGAGTAATTCTCCAGCAGACTGTTTCTCACTCCTAGAGAATCTGATCCATTTCAGGGACTTTCCAAATCTATTCTAAGTTGTTTACTTTTTGTCTTCAGGAACTTCCTTGGGAGATGGAATGTTTCAGTCCACGAACACCTCTAGTTTTCAGAGGTTTTAAATCCTGCTTTTACATATGCTCAGATAGTCATACATTTTTGAGAATTGAAAACATAAGTATTGAGTTTGAGTCCTACCTTGTCAGCTTCTGAGCAACAGTACCAATATTGGCCAGTGTGATAAACCATTGTGGAGCAATAATTCTCGACATTTAGCTTTCTAAGTGACTTGGTAAATTGCCAGGATGACAGCATTTTTAATTTTAATTTTTGTTTAATTCCCTAAACTGTGCAAAATGCATATGTAAAATCTATGTTTTACTGATAGGGAAACTGAGTCTCAAAGCAATTGAGTGAGAGGTAATAGAAGTGACAGGATTTCTGGTGCCTCCAAAGGCCAATTTTTCCCCATTATACCAGGCAGCATCTTCAGCTGACTTCACCCTGTGGGCCTCTGAACCACATTACCAGCCATTAAATATCGTTTCTCATGTTGCAATTAAAATGCTATTTAACTGCACATAATTTTTCAGTTTCCTCTGGGAATGCAAAATTATGCACACATATATCTTTATATATGTACATTTCCTTCTGCTCCGAGTATAATAGTGACGATTTACAGTGCAAGTGACACACTGTAACTTTGCTATGTATGCAAGATACAGATTTTTTTTCCTTAGAACCGCTTTTATAAGCTTGTCAGCTTCCAGAGAGTTCGTTGAATAATCTGTTTCTGGGTTTTGTGACTATGCAAAAGTCAGCACAATATTCTTTTGCCAGAGCATGCAGTTTATTGGTGTCTTTAAAATGCCCTCCCATTTTACAATATCTACAGACTTGTTCCTTCTTGTACCGTATATTTTTAGGTAGAGAACTAAGAGTGAAATTGAGTTGGTAGGGCGTTCATAAAATAATGGCCAGTGACATAAAACCCCTGTAGAGTGAAAACCAACCAAACAAAAGCCCAAGTCAGTGTGTAGTAGCAGTTGGGCACCTTCCATTCTCCCCATGGACAACTGTGGGTGCTGTAAACAGTGTGACATTATTGATTCATCAGTTACTTTTTTTTTTGTCACTTGACAAAAGCCAGGATCATCTGGGAAACAAGAACAAACCTCAACAGAAAAACAAACAAACAAAAACCAAAAACATATGCCAGCATCAGGTTAACTTGTGGAGCATTTTCTGGATTAATAATTGATGTGGGAGGCCTTCGCCCACTGGTGCCAGGCCTGGGCAGGTGGTCCTGGGTGGTAAGAGATAAAAGTCTGAACAAGCCATGAGGAACAAGTCAGTAAGCAGCGTTCCTCTACTTCAGTTCCTGCCTCTGGGTTCCTGCCTCACTTGAGTTCCTACCTTGCTTCCCTCAATGGTGGACTGTCTGTCACCTGTAGTAAGTGTAAGATATAATAAACCCTTTCCTCCCCGACTTGTTTATATTTATGGTGCTCATCACAGCAACAGAAAAGTAAACTAGGATAATTGGTAATCTAGTCTCTTAAACAGAGTTGTATGCTTACACATCCTGGCTTAGTCAATCAAGTCATCCCATAGTATACACATCTGCATTAATACACACACATACTTTTGGGTGTCTATACACACACAGAGAGACACCAATATGTGTTCAAATGAACTCATTACCTATGATTTCTGCTTTGGTACATTCTATGATGTTATAATACGTTCAGAAAAATTAAAATAAAGCCATGTGCATAAACGCATTCCTTTTATGCTCATTTTCATGTCATTTGGGACAAAGCAAAGACTGTTCTACCTTACACCTTACACGTGGTATGACTGAAAATGCTTACTTAACCCATTCATGGTAACGCACTCTGCTCCACTCAAAAAACATAGAGTAATGGCTCGTTAGCCAGCTGTCAGGCATTTCAGTTTGGGTTTCTATTAAGAGAGCTTTGGTTGGTTATTAAAGAAAATGAGTCAGTAAAGTAAGCACAGGTTTGGACCATAGAGGCAGTTTGTA